GAGAATCAGTTCATCATCATAGTAACTTTCTGGTTCTATTGCCTAAATTGTATGGATCTGCTAATTTTCTCTGTTTTATATGATTGAAGATTGAATAACTTCTGGATTGCTGGTTGGACAAAACAAGGTATTTGAAGACATTATTTAGTGCTTTGAGAAATTCTGATGGCCATTTTTAAAACTGTATTTCATGTTATGGGCAAAACAATTCATCAATTATTCAATAAAAAATTTGGCAGACTAATTGATAATGAAAATAATGGTTTGTTGTGACCTACAAGCAGTCCATGCCCACTGTAACAGTTACAAAGATTGACATCAGACTACATTTCTCTACAAATGACATTACGCCGCCAGGCATGACGGATGATGTTCGACCACTGGACAGTCATTGGTGTGTGAGAATTTGCCCAACAAATAATAAATCATAATGACAAAAGACATGTCACATGGATATGGTAAAAATAATATTAAATTTACTGTTGATTTTAATGTCAAATTCAGGTGAGTCAACTGCTTCCACTGTGCACAAACAGCAGCTCGGGCCCATGTGAATTTGCTTTCTATCCAATAAAGAATTCTAAATAAAACTGATGAATGCAACAAATTCTCTTAAATCACTTTAGAATGATTCTGTGAGTATGAGGCCATATGATTTTTTTTTAAAATGAGCATGTGTGTGGTCACGGCTGCAGTAATAGTCATGACTGCATTAACATAAACAAATCCAGCTCAGGAGTCAACTGAACCGTCATCAACATGAAAGTACTGAAGTGCTCTAGTGGCAGGTGTACTGAATCCTTGTTGTCAAGGTAACAGTAAAATCCACACAGTATAATTCATGGAATGGTCATAGGTTTAGGTACAAAATGGCTAGGCTAGGAATAATAAACCCACAGCTGAGGAAAGAAACAATGTTAACATACTGTTTTCACATGGGAAACAGTTACCCCAACCACCTCATAACATGGACTTTGTTATTGTGTGTACAACATCACCTGACTTCTTCTTTTGCTCTAATAATAACTATGTTGGCTGCTAAAGACTGGCTAACTGTAAACCCCAGTATGCAGCTTCCACAGATGACCTATGTCTTATATACTGTAGGTGTACAGGTGTCTTATACATCTTATACAGGTGTACAGTCTCAACAAGACAATCGGAATCAGAATCAGTTTTATTGGCCAGGTGTGCTGGACACGAGGAATTTGACTCTGGTACAGCGGCTCTCAATGTGCATGTACATATCCCCATGCAAGGCAACAGCAAGGGGCAAGTAAACAATATACTACCAACATAAGGCTGAGTAGTATAACAAAATAAACAGTATAAACAAGCAATAAACAATGAAGTCAGACAAAGGAATGTTCATTGGGAGACGAGATAAAATGTACGAATCTGTATAATCTGTACAATGTATATTTACAAGTACTGCACTGGGGGAAGGTATTGCACTAAGGGTTATTGTCCAGTCATACTGTCGTGCGTTAAGTGTTAATCAGAGTGACAGAAGAAACTGTCACTTCCTGTCCTGGTCATATTTACATATCAACTTAACATTTTGCCACAGAACAATTATTTTTATTTTTCATACGTTAAGTACATTTTGCTGATACTACTTTTGTACCTTTATTTAAGTACTGCAAAAGTTGGAATTCAACACGTTTAGAGTGTTTTTACATTAACATTCTGGCACTTTTACAGAAATAAAAGGATCTGAGTACTTCTTCCAACACTGAACTACTGTGACTCTCCTTCTTTATATTATCACCACGGTAGCTCTCCTTTTTATACCACTGTCGACAATAAATATTACCACAAAAACTAACTGCAGATGGTTATATCCACAGTTACAGCCACACTGTCTAAAACTCTGTTACGTCTGACCAACAAGTCAAGTCATCAGTATTACTGCAACTGTGATGCTGAGCCATCACTCGAGAAGCCTCCCGTTTCCAGGAATCAATGTCACTTTACAGATTCATTAAATCCAGTACAGTGCATGGTAATACATCTCTGAGCAGCTTTTTCCTTATTGGACTGTTGCCTTAGGGCCTTTGTTATGATTGGATACATACAAAAGCCAGCCACCCCCTCCATGTGTCTCTCCTTCCAAAGGTCTGCTCCTGCATATTAAACAGGCTAGAGCATTGCAGCAATCAAATGCAGGAACTCCTTCTACATTATCACCTCACTGAGTAAAGTAATAAATAAACGAATGAAGCAAGCTGCCTCTGAGACACTAAGAACATATACTACAGTGGCTGGCTGCAGAGAAGAGATGTCTTTTTGGGTAGTTAAGAGGAGGTGTTGGTGGCGGTGGTGGTGGGGTGGGGTGG